CCATCTTCTTTGATGTCATTAATTAGATCTAGGCTCCAATTGCAAAAAACAACGAAGATATCCTATTTTTCCACCCAAGAAAGTGCTTTGATACCAATTTGATAAGTAACACTTGAAGATTTCAAGCAAATCCTATCAATAAAGACGAAAAAACAAAATGCTCTACAAATCTCATGGAAAATCAACAAAACAGTAATTTTTATTGAAGAAATCGAACTACATAAGAAATAAAGCAAGATACAATTGATCCTCTATTCAAGAGGAGGATCTATCTCTCCCAAATCTCTAGATGCCATTAGAGCCCCAAAAAACATAAACATAAGAGATCTCAAATTACAGCCAAATTCAAGATGAAACTCTAACCCTTACAAAAGAAATTATTTAAAGCAAAGAAGATTACAAAATCCCTAAATAGCCCCTAATTTAAATTTTTCCTCCCAAAGTAATATTTAATTGAGTTGTTCCCTCACAAAGTAATATTTAATTGAGTTGTTCCCTCCCAAAGCAATATTTAATTGAGTCCCTTAATGCAAATTTACCTCCCAAATCCCTCAAAAATCTTTCCCGAAAAGCTCCCTTTGATTTTGCAGTTTGATCAGCATACGTAGGAGATGTGGAACGTTGGCCTTTGTTTTGCCTGGGCTGGTCCAGTGTGGACCGGTCTAACAGATCGTTTAGTCAGGTTGAGTCGATTACCACCGTTAGCTAAGTAGATTGGGTAGATGACAACTTGGGATGGCGAAGCCATGCAATCTTGATTGTGTTCGTCATCATTTCCCACACCATCCATTTTAAGCTAAATGTAGGAAATTTCATCAATCCTAAAATCAAATTGTTGCTACTATAAGCTAATCATTTAACATCTATTGTTTAATCAAAATTGAAGGTTCTCTCTTGTTATTAAGAAGGATAATTAATTATAGGAGCTTACATCTGTGAGAAACTTGTAACATATTATAATGTCTTTGTAAAATAAGGGTGAAATTTTTAGGTAATGTATTATTTGTAATCTAATTTGTCTTCTAAAAATTTCACCCATAACTAAAAATTTCTCGAAAGAGTTGAGTGCGTTTTTAAGCTCACGGGTGGTTGTTATGATAAAAAATCTTCTATTGCAAATGTCTTAGGTTGTTCTTTTGAAAGACTTCCTTTTAAAATTTAGACCTTCCTCTAGGGTCTAAAGTTAGCATAAAAGAAATTTGGACTCTTATTATGACTAAATTCAATGATAACTTGTTTTCTGAAAAACTGTTCTTTAAAGATGGGAAGATTATTTTGATTAACTTTGTGCTATCTTCTATGGCTTTGTACTTTCTCTCTTTCTTTTGGATTTCAAATTTGATCATCATCAAAATTGATTGTATTAGAAGTTTCTATTTGAAACAAATGTTGATGGGTAAAGGCCTTCCCCTGAGCAATTGAAACAACATATGTAGACTAAAAAATATTGCTGGTCTTAATGTTTTAGATTTCTGTAAAATGAATATTTCTCTTCAGAATGGATCTGAAATTTATTCTTGTGGATTTGAACTCCTTGTCATATCACATCATACAAAGCAATTATTTGTGTAACTCTACTTCTATTGACTTTTAGAATGATAAAGGTACCCATGTCTCTCTTTTTTGAAATTTTATTAAGGATCTTAGGAAAGCATTTTTTTTTTCATCTCATTTCCTAGAATATTAAATACCGTCCAAAAATCAATTTTTGAAGGATGTATCAATCTATTATTTTCATTTGCAAAGCTTTAATGATGCAAGATGATTTGCAATCCTAATTATTGCCGAAATTTCTTTTCTCCCCTTTATTTACTTGCATTTTCATGAGGAAAGCATTACTTATTTTTATCTTGATAATTATATTTTAAATCTTTATAGTGAGCTGAATCATATTAGGTTGAATTCAAATATTTTACTCTCCAAAATAGTTGATCTCTTAAAGTGTCATTTTCCTTGTCAGGTCCTTATATCTTTCTTGATTTATGGTGGCAATTTCACTTCTACTTATTCTTGGATTGGAAGGCCTTGATATCTTTGAAGGTTGCTTTCTTTGAGTGGAGTGTTATTTGGGAAAGATTCTTATGAATTCATTTGCATATCATTTGGGATTCAAAATCTCTACCAATTGTATTTCATGAAATTAACTTCTAAAGATGATTATCTCCAGTTCTTCAAATGTAGATTCTTGTTCAATATTTGAACTCATATTTTCTCTCTTTTTGGAGCTTATAGTACTTATTTTCCATCTAGCTCTACCATCCCTTCATAAAAAAACTTTTATATCAAAGATAATGCTAAGGACATCTGGGGCAACCTCTTGCTCTAGGATATTTGTAGTATTCAGAATGAAAGAAGCAAGATATGCTTTTCTCATGCTATCAACATTGCAGCAATAACATTAACAACAACATCATCATCAAGCCTTTATTCCACCACATGGGGTCGTCTACATGAGATGTCCTGTTAATTATCAATTTCTCATTTAAATATAATATAGAAAGGTTATTTCTGATATTTTCTAACCAAGTCTTGTTAGGTCTACCTCCTCTACCTTTCTTAACATAAGCCAAATCTAATACATCTACTCTCCTAACCGAATCAACGGAAGGCTGCCGTTTTATGTGATCAAACCATCTAAGGAGACTCTCTAATCTTTATCTTCCACTGGAGTTACTCCAACCTTTTCACATATATGCTCGTTTCGTGTTCCGTCTGTAAGAGTAAAGCCATTCATCCACTTGAGCATCGTCATCTTTGTAATACTTAACTTATATTATGTTTCTCTTTTAATGATCAACATTCTGCACCATAAAGCATTGCAGGTCTCACTACCATCTTATAGAATTTTCCCTTAAGTTTGAGGGAGACTTTTCTATTACACAACAAGCTCCATTCATTTCTCCACTTCAATCAACTTGAATTCTACTATGAATACTCCCATCTATTTCACCATCACTCTGAACAAAAGACCAAATATGTCTACAACGTGTACTCTAATGGCTAGATCGCCTAAAGCCACAATCCCCTACTAGATCTATTACTACTAAAATTATACTCCGTATATTCTATTTTAGATGTACTCAAACGAAAACCTTGAGACTCTAAGATTGACTTCTATAATTCAAGTTTACCTTCAACTCCCTCTCTAGTCTTATCAATAAGAAGAATATCACTAGCAAAAAGCATACACCTGTGTACAACCTCTTGCAAATGTCTAGTGAGAACATCCATGACTAAAGCAAAAAGATATGGGCTTAAGGTTGATCCTTGATGTGATCAAACTGAAGTAGGAAAATAATTGTTCAAACCATCTTGTGATTGAACACTAGTAATAAATATTGCATACATATCTTTAATGGCTTTAATATAAGCATTATTAACTCTTTTCTTTTCTAGAACTCTCCATAGCACTTCTCTTAGAACTTTATCAGATGCTTTCTATCAACATTGATAAAAAAAATGGTCCGATACCCTATCTAGAGATTTGAATCTCCCAGACAAGCCTCTAGATCTTTTTAAAGCTGCCGTTTAACTTTTTTTTCTTCTTTGCAATGATTTCATTTTATGGTTAACTCTTGATTTGTTATGCTATTTTTGTATCCTTTTTCTTTCTACTATTGAGGAGTTTCAAAGCTTTTCAATTTTTTTTTTAAAAAGGAGGGTGCGAGATATCATGTTAAAATGGTTGTCGTGAGGTGTAGAAACTTAGAAGAGTCATGTGACAATATTTATTGTTTATGGGATTTCTTTATCCGTATGGCTCTTTCATACAAGTTGAGCTTGGTTGATCAACTAGACACACAAAATTGGACCAGAAGGTGCACTAATATTTTAGCAATTCCAAGTTTATCCACATCAAGCTCAAATAAAGGCCCAAGTTAGATACAAGTTAGATGTAATGTCAGACCTAGGTCAAGCGCAAAAGTCAGAGTGGGTTCATGGAGCACAAAAGACTACAAGAGGATTGCATCAAATCTAAAGGGTTTTATTGAAATACAAAATCATACTTCCTAAAGTGAAGGGGTCAAGCACCTTCTAGAGGAGGGAGATTTTTTTCTTTTTTGGCATTTTTTTAAATTCAAGAGGAATTTAAGGTCATCCAAGATTCCCTCTCCATAAAATTTACTAGCGCTTTGACCTGGCCAAAGAGGAGATCGGTTAAATATATATTTTCGATTATCATGGATTTTTCTTGATTTAGAATCACTTATCATATAAATTGTTAAGTTTATTAAGGGGCTTTTTCTACATGTTAATTTATTTATCATGAATGATAAAGAGATCATCTTAATGCAGTATCATCTCTTTCCTAGGGTTTTGGTGACACAAGCTTCCTCCTCCTTTTTTGAAAGTATTTCTATAACATTTTTTTTACTACTCTGCTCTTTGCATGGACCTGGTAATGCAGAGGCAAGAAACTAGGTCATTGTCTGAGCTGTGTGGATTAAACTTTTAAGGTGGTTATTCCTGGGTTTGAATAAGGGGAAGGAAGCCTATAATGATGGAGCTATTTCTCGATTGCATATAAGAAGGGCAAAGAGTAAAGGTCAAATGTATTATGTGACCCAACATTATTTCCCAGTTGAGCTTTGAAAATGGGTACAAATGTATGGTGACTTGTTTACCAACATCTAGAACATTTTGTTACCACCCTACTATGTTATATACCTCGGCAATGCAGTATATGTCCTCACATATTTGTAGTGATAAAGTTAACTGGCACTATTTTATAGCTCAATTTATTTTGGAAGAAAAGATCTTCCTCCAGATAACTAACATTATAGTAAAGCTTATTGCTTTTTGAAATTATTTTACCCTTTTTATCAGATAACCCGAAACTTTTTTGGCTTGTGATAATGATGAACTCAATGGAATTGATCTGGGAAGTGTAAAATAATATATTCATGTCATATTAAATTCACCTTCACTTGATGAAATACTGTTATTTTGGTATTGATAACTTATATTGTATTTTTTGTTTCCTGCCAATTTTTGTGCAGTACATCAGCCCAGACATCCTGGAACAGAATTTTGTGTGCTTCAATTCTTCAATATACAAATCTCTTTACTTCGTATGCTGTAATTCCTGCAGTTTAGATTCCACTGGATGCTGGAAAGTTTTACCGTTGCAACCTATGATAAAAATGTATTTTGTTGGGATAAACAATTAAATTGCACTCCATGAAAAAGACCCTATCCATCTATGCTTGTATTTTCTTTCACACGTTTTATACATGTAATTTCATTTAACAAAATTTGTTAAATTTTTTTTTTTTTAATTTGTCTTTGCCTATTATGTCTTGGTCTGTGTAAACACCATTATTCTCTTATGCAATACTTTTGTGTTCAGGAAATTTCAACTTCTTATCTCTGCACAGCTTATGAAGTTCAGGCCTCCTGCAGTCCTTGCATAAATCAAGCCGGATCCATCACTACTGCCAATCTGTTTGCAGTTTCTTGTATGTAGGAGGATATTAAGTTTTACCGGCAAAATATCAAAATTATTGCAAGCTCTTGTAGATATTATATTTCACTCGAATAACGGAGCACGTTAGCAATTTTCTTTATTTTTTTTTTTATATGCCTTTCTTCTTGTTTGCAATTATTATTCAATATTGAAGTTTTTTGAATTGGTAGGCATTCGTTCATCTCTGCCTATTTTTTTTTTTCCTATTAACTGGAAAGAAAGTGAAAGAGGAGGATGAAAAAAATGTTGATGGGTCGATCAAAATACTAATTTTACGTGGGTTGGAGAAAAAAAAAAAGAAAAGTATCAAGAAAGGAAAAAAAAAAAAAAAGAAAAAAAAAAAAGCTCGCAGGAGGTGGTTGCATTGGAGGAAAGAACAGTGTATGAGATGGAAAAAGAAACAAAAAAGTTGATAAAAAGGGTAAACGAAGGCTGAAACATTTTTTATCTGCATTAGTTGTTAACTGCACCAGAAGTTGGTGTGTCATGCCGTAATTTGCGCCTTAGATGATTCAAATTATATGAATTATTTGGTATGAACTTCAATTTTTGTTATTTTATCTTATGCATGCTCTTTTTAATTATGTTATATTCTAGAGCTTATTTATGATATCGTCTTAAAAAAAATTTGCTATGAAAACCCTAATATATATATATATATATATATATTATATATATTATATACTTAATAGTCGTGTTGTAATTATTTGTATTTGTTTATGTGAGAGTGAATTAGTATTTCATGGATTCATGTGTTAATTTTTTTTATTAATTTCAAAATAGTTATGTTGATGCCAAAAGAATCATTGTCCCTTCAATTCTTGCTAAATTTTTATGGTTCATGCTTTGGACTGGGCCTTAGTCTAGGTAAATATTCATCATATTTAGTAATTTAATTAATTTATTCTAAGCATTTATTAAAGAAACAATATAAATCGAAACTGCCACTCTTTTAATTAAAATCATTAAAATAAACATTCTGATTCTTTGGAAACAAAATAATTTGATTTCCAAAAAAATAATAAAATCCAAATCAATACATTGTTCTATCAAATTTGTATGAAAAATATGAAAAAGTGATGATCAGACTAGTTAAGAAAAACCAACGGAAATATTGGTTAAGCAGAATAAAATAAAAACAAAAGTTATAATGGGTTAATTAAGTTAATCATTGAGTTTCTGATTGATGATGCACATACAAAATAAAATAACAAAGCCAGACTAAATTAACTAAGCAAACAAAACGTCAAGTTATTAATCAAACTGAATTAACTAACGTCAAGTTATTAATCAAACTGAATTAACTAAATAAAATTTATACAATGCTAAATCAAACCAAATGATTGGACTATTTTTGATTCACTAATCAAATAAAAATATTGCGTGCGAGTTTTTTCAATATTTAGGCTTATTATGTGAATGATAAGAATTTTGCCCAACGTATCTTATAATATGTTAAACATAAGAATTTTATTATTTTTCTTAAAACTTTTTGAGAAGTTGCTTATTGTAGGGGTGCATCATTTTAGTGCAAATGCATATATATATATATATATAATACGGTGATTGATAGCCGAGACTCTTAATCATAAGCATGAAGATAAGCTGTAAGTACTTATAACACGTAGTCCTAATCCGATCCAAAAAGACACACATGAGAAAGCTTCTACGGTTGTGGGCTGAAAAGTCATATCAACTATCAAGTGAAGACAACAAAGAACTATTATAATTTATCTCTGAGTTGAAATTACGCGTTCAGGATCGGATGGATAAGGGTGAAACACAAATGTTTTTCTTTTCTTTTCTTTTCTTTTTTTAAGATCAATTTAAATGCACACCGCACCCAATCAATATTTTCCATTTTTGTGTGTTTTGAGAGAGGGAGAGAGAGAGAGAGCGGCAATGGCGTCGCAATCGTCGGAGCCGACGAAGATCATGATGGCGGTGAATGAGTCGTCGATAAAGGGGTACCCTCACGCATCCATCAGCAGCAGGACGGCTTTCGAGTGGACCGTAGCGAAGCTCGTCCGATCCAATGCCGCCGGCTTTCGCCTTCTCTTCCTCCACGTTCAGGTCCCTGACGAAGACGGTGCCGCTCTGGTCCCCCCATTCTCATTTATTATAGGGTTTGCTTTTCGGAGTATTTTTATTTATGTGCTAACTTATAGACTTTGCTTTCCTCATTCAATCGCCGTGATCTTTGTTGGATCTGTGTGAATTTTCCTTTTCTTTAGGGTTGAGTCTTGATGAATGTTAATTTTGCCCATTATATGGGCAAAACTTCCGAGCTACGGCTAACTCAAACTAGGTCTAGACAATCTCTCGCATATGCGTAAATTTAGCGAAACAAGTTTTTTTAGCTCGAGGGACAAAATCAGGCGTCTATTTGATGACACTGCGATTTTTAAACTTTGTTTAGTGCTTACGTTTTTTATTCATCTTGGGGAGCAGCATTTGAAGACATGGATAGCATCTATGCATCACCTGAAGATTTTCACAATATGAACGAGAAGGACCGGATTAGAGGGCTTCACTTACTTGAATACTTTGTCAATCGTTGTCATCAGTATGAGGTAAACACTATATAGTGAACTGTCAGATATCTGTTATAATCTTTCTTTCTGAGGACAAAGTTGTTGGTATTATTTCCCCTCTATGAGCAAAACATATTCTAGTATGGTTGAATTTTTATTTTCTTTGGTTGAACGGTTATAGATTCCTTGTGAAGCATGGATCAAGAAAGGTGATCCAAAGGAGCTAATTTGCAGCGAGGTGAAAAGAGTTAAACCTGACCTTCTGGTTGTTGGAAGCCGTGGCCTTGGACCCTTTCAGAGGTATTCTTATGTTCATGTTTCTAAATTCCTATCATAAGTTGTCTCTTTGGTCTAATATCACAAGATTAAGCATGTCCAAATCAACAAATCTTTACTTTTGTTCAGCAAATAGCTTGAATTGTGCAATTATTATAAACGGGTATCTTATAATCTACAACTTTTTATCAATTACTACATTCTATAGTAAGCTAGTCCTGAAAATTATCATTGATGTAGTGCTAGACATGCATAAATTTTTTTCTATTATTTTTTAGAGTTTCTTGTACTTCTTAGGTTTTTCATAGGATCTTGTTTTTGTTTTAATGTATTTAATTTTTAGGATTATTTTTACTTAAAATTAGATGATCGATTTTCTTTTTATTATTATTAAATTAGTTTGAATTATCCTTGTGGGCATATTTTGATAAATTATGTGTTCAAAGTGTTATAAATAGACATCTATTATTAATTGAAATTGAATCAAAAGTCCACTTGTTCCTGCTTCCTCCTTTCTCATCTCTTTTTTTTTCTCTCTACTTATAATTCTTAAATCTCAAGTAAGGTCCCTACAAAAAATTCCCTTGTTTAAGAATTGCATGAAAATTTCTATACTGGCACTATTCTCAAGGAACTATACTAGCTTCCCTCCTTTGTTTAATTCTCGTATATATAAAGGGTGAATTCAAGTAAAATAAGTTGCATTCTTGGGAAATTTAAGAGAATAAAAGAGAGGGAGATTGAGATCATGAAAGGCCATTATTAAGTTGGCATTAAGAAAGATTCTTTCTATATTAATTGGCCTTGAGGACAATGTGAGTTTTTATAGAGGAATTGTGTGTGTGTGTGGGGGGGTGGGGGTGGGGATTGATAGGTTAGTCCCTCTTGGATCGGCTAGGGTTTAAGCCAGACGAATAGGGGGGAAATCCGCCCCTTTGAAGTGGGCCCTGGGAGCAGATTTTGAAATTGGAGGGGTGACTAGGAGGGAAAAGCAAGATTGTTTTGAGATTTTTCTATTGTATGCTTTTAATATATTTTTAACCCAGTGTTCAGTTATTTCTTTATGCATGTGTTTGTTGAAATTAGGGTTTCTTAGGTTGTGAGGGCTCTAACCAGCAGCTAGGGATTTGGGAGAGCCGGATCTTCCTCTCCAATTGAAGATCCAACTGCATCTTGCTATTTTCTTTCATATTCCTTGCACTAAAAATATTCATGGTGTGTTCTTCTTCCCAATTTTCCATTGCGATTCACTGATTTGGTTCAAAGTGCATCTACTTCCTATCATGTACTTATGTAATTATACTTAATCTTAGATATAAGATCTAATGCTTTCCTCTCACATCCTCAAGATGTGAAGTAACTGAGGTCAATCCATTCATTCCTTGGAGTCAACATGATGGGTACATCAGAGCTTGGAGGATTTATCGCCGTAGAGGCCAGAGATCTACAGCCTTGATTGAGTCTTTATATTTTTAGTTTTCATGTGTTGTAGGAGGTTTATGTGGTGTTATTTATTTTATTATAATTTTACCTTCATTTGAGGGAGTTTTTTGTGTTTTTTGGTCAAGAGCCTTCTTGTCTTTTGTTCCTTTCATATTTTTGGTGCTTATATATATGGTCCATTGTTCTCTTGTATGGATGATGAATATTTTGATATAAATTTCTGGTTATATGCTTCCTCTTCTCTTGTTGAGTTGAGTTTGTGTGTGAAGTTCCTTGGAAAAAGGCAATGAAATACCAATAGCATGTGAGCTCTTGGTTGGTATCATCTTCCTTCTCTATCTCTTTCTTCTCCTTCCCTAGCCGCCCAAACAACCTCCCACCGCTGCAGCAACTTGTTGTCCTCAACCAGCAGCGACCTCCCTCGTCCCCTCTGACCGCCTTCACATTTTCTCCAACACCCTTGACCCTTGGACTTTCCTATTATGTAATTAATTCACATTAATTGAGCATTTATCTCAATTAATTGTGACATTTGGAGATCCATAACCGCTTTGACTTTTCCTTTCCCAAGCCAACTAATTTCCTTCCCAAGCAAGCCACATCAACCCTTTCTCTTTCCCAAGCAGCTCGCCCTCACATCTTCACTTCCCAAGCTGACTTCTCCCTTCCAAGCCACTAAAAATTGGCCAAATCGTCTCTCCCCTCCTCCCCATGCAGCTGGCCTAGCTTTCCGCTCCAAACCCCAAAACTGTGAACCTCTCCACTTCCAAACCCTCATCTAGATGAAACTTTCTTTTCCCTCCCCACTATTCTACCTCTCCAAGGAAACCTACATTCTACTAATGCAACAAGGACATTGATTGGACAAAGAGCATGGATTTCAAGGGCAAACCAAGGAGGAACTAGCCGTCATTTATTAAGGATTTCATTCCTCCTATTCACAAGCTAAGTATCAAATCATCCCCTTGTTCTTCATCTAACTAAATATTGGTCTCCTCATTTCATCTATATTAGCATCATCTCATATGTATTGATTAATCCACCAAGTTCTACTTAAAATTGAGCGAACAGAAATTCTAGTAATTAGTCCTTTAATTAAATGTTTGACTTGTGCCAACCCCTGTTAGCTAGTCTAAATTGATTCATCTTTTGTTATTGCTTAGCCTTTACTTATTAATTTCTTGCTATCACATGATCTAATTGTTCAATTTTTTTTTACTGTTCTTAATGTTTTATGAAGTTTATTTTGTTGTCTTTGATGTTAACTTAACATAAATCTCTATTTGTATGACTTATTTCGCTTAGTCATGCATAAAAACATTTTCATGCCATCATTATTTTTAGGAAGTTGCATCCACTGATTTTATCTTCAACCAAGAACAATTTCGATCAAACAAGAACTCTTTCCAAGTTGATTTCTATCAAGATTATTCTTTCGTTGATTATACTTACTAGTGCCATCATATGGTGCGCTTGACATACTTATCAATGGTCAATAACAACCTATAACGCAAAGGCCTATATTATGGCCATGTGCATAGCGCATAGCGTAATACGCGCTATCTTAAAAATATGAACAAAATGCAACTAAAAATGAAAGATTATTAGATTGAAAAATAAATGGCTCATGGTAATAAAAACAAAGGCTCACGTACTTAACCACTTAAAATTTAAAACATTGCCATTTTTTGGCAAGTTCAATGTCTTTTAAAAAAATTAAACTAAACATTTTAAGGATCATCATCATCATCATCATCATCATTATAAGTTAAAATAGCCTCGTCCCTTTATCTACATCACCATTATCTTCTAAATCGTGTTTTTTGTGTTACTTTCATCATCTTCATGCTCAATTGGAGCAGTGTTAATTCTAGATGAAAATTCGTTCTATTTTTCTTTAGATCAATCTTAGATATTGTAATTTTATTCATAAACACTAGTTTTTGCAACAATGCTCCATGCGTGTGTCGAAGGCTTTTATGCGGTAAGCGGGAGACATTGTCAAATGAAATTATGCCGAGCTACTCGCCTAGCTTTGTCCAGTAACACGTAATAATTTGGTTTCAATTATTTTCTTGTTCCAATGCTTGATAGTCCTGATTTGGTTTTGAGTTTTGATATGTAAATAGTTGTTTGAAAAGGGAAAAAAAAAGCTCTGGCTGATATCCTTAGGGTTCTTGTGTTTTGACAGGGTATTTGTTGGAACTGTGAGCGAATTCTGTGCAAAACATGCTGAATGCCCTGTGATCACCATCAAAAGGAAGCCTGCTGATGCTCCACCTGATCCCATAGATGATTGATTGTTTATTCGCCAACAATCAACATCACAGATTGTGCAACAAAGAGCAATATACTTAAGAGACTGAATGTGTTTCATTGCTGGTGTTATCATATATTATGACAGCTTGTGCTTGTACATATACATATATATATATATATAAATTAGTAGGCTCCATATCTACTTTTTGGCAAAACTTGAGTTTGTTTGTTTTATTAAATGTATGAATCTATTGGTATTTGCTCTTTTTAGGGTATCTGTTTATGTGCCAACATTTCACTTGGGCGAATATGATTTATATTGACTGATTGTAGTTAGATGGGAATGGATCCCTTTCATGGCTAAGTTATAGCCTTTTAATTATAATGCATATTTCAATTAAGGTAAATTCACACACATCATATACGTGAGATTCAAATCAAGATCTCTAAGTTGAAAGTCAAAACTCTAGTTGACCAAACAAAAGAAGAGTATCTCATAATATAAAATAGTATTTTGAAATTTTCTTGGAGGTACTGTAAATAGTATTTTGAAATTTTCTTTCATTCTTCTCTCATAATATGAAATAATAGAACAATAAGAAGTAAGGTAAAAAGGCCTTTTAATTAAACCAGAGCTAGAAGGAATATCTAGAATATGTTCAAAGAGCTACATCAAAGTAGGCCTAAACAAAAGGGAGCTCAACTGTGGAATTAAAGCAGTTATAATAGAAAAAAAAAAATGATGATTGTGGCTTTCATGAGCTTGATTGCAAAGAATGCAAGATTGGGATACCAAAATATTACGTTTAATCAGAATATCAGATATGTCTTAAGACCCTCCAAAATTACCAACCAAGCAAAAGAAGAGTATTTGAGAGCAAAATTCTTATGCCGGATGAAATTAAACCAAGGCATAATAATGAGAAGTAATGTTCTTAAAAACCAATTTATCAGTACCAGGCCAATATATAGGAGCAGAAGCATAAATAAAAGTTACATTGGTAATAGTAGAACTAATGTATGTAGAAAAATTAGCTGGAAAATTCCAACCAATAGGGGAGATAAATTTGCTAACCTGTATATTATTAAAATCACTTAACCCAATCAGGTCCAAAAGCTTTATTGTTACACCAAGTGTCTCATATAAGGGAAAGATTGTTGTCGGTATGTATGTTGAGAGAAACATTGTTTCTGATTTTGATTGCAATGGAGCATATGCATTTCCAATACTTAGAGGCTTTAAGAGAATAAGGTTCCAAATAGAAATATATTTATGTTTATACCAGTTAGTAAGCAAACTATCACCATTATATAGATGTCAAATAAGAGAGCAGGTGTAATCATAGTACAAAGACTGGATGGAAGGAATGCCAAGTCCACTCTTATCGTTGGAATGATAAGTAGAATTACAAGATATACTTGGATTATTTTGGTATTTATATCCACATGGAAGAGGAATCTAGAGCAAACCTTATCAATAACTTTATAACAGCCCCTAGGTATAATAGCTCCCCTGATTCAATAAGCTAAAGTGTTGTGTATGATAAATTTAATAAATTGAGTACGACTAGCAAAAGATAATGACTTAGCTTTCCAACTCTCTAAAAGGCCAAAAAAATTTTGCAAGAGGGATTGAAAATCAGCAAAACAAGTTTTTAGTGGAAAAACAAGAAAATCAATATATTTAAGCTGAGAGCTAGAACAATTAATATTTAGAATATTACAAATATCAGTGGATTGGGAAATACCATTAGAAAAGATAATATAATTGTTATCATCATTAACATGCAGGCCAAATTCATAATATTTTGAAGATTTAAAACATTCACAATATTGACTTTCCCAAAGACCGAAAGGTCATTAACATAAAGCAAATGGCTAATAGTTTTGTTCTCAAAATTGAGACCTTCAAAAGCACATTTAGAGTCAGGCTTATCCAATATATTAGACAAAGTATCCATGACAATACAAAACAAATAAGGAGATAAAAGGTAGCCCTATCGCGAGAAGAAGAGCTTAAAAAATCCTTAAAAGCATCATTAATACAAATAGAGAAGTAAACATTATCAATACATCATCTAATCCAAGAAATAAATGTGGAGGGATGCAATGCCCAATATCAATTTTTAATTTCTTCATTAACCAACCAGAGCTTCTATAAATTTTGAGTAATGAATATAATTTTATATTTGTATTGATTCTTTTGTCTTGCATTGAGATAAGTGATAGAGTTTTATTTACTTGTTGGGCTTTTATGCTTATTATGATTTTAAATGATTTCATCTAAGTAGCTTGCAGGTTGAGACTATGTACTAATGCTAGTATAATTTTTATTTTAGTTTTTTGTTTATATATATATATATTATTTTGAACTCTAGTTACATATTGTAATTATTAACAATAGTAATGTGATAAGGGCAGCCTTTTTTATTCAAATGAGTAAGCAAAAACTCTCTAAAAATTGTGTCAAAAGATTTAAATATGTCGATCATAGCACAAAAAAGATTCTTGTGAGTATTAATGTTGAATTCTCCCAATAATTCAAAGACCAGCAAGATATTATCAATAGATATTCTATCATGAATGAGACCAACTTGACTAATATCAACAATATAAGGAATAATAGGTTTCATTCTAATAGCCAAAATTTTAACAATAATTTTGAAAATACACTGGAAAGAGAGATAAGTCTATAGTCACCAATATTACCAACTTGAGATGTCTTAGGAATAAAAGTAATAACAGGGACTTTAACACATCTAGGCATGGAATTTGTTAAAAAGAAGTTTTTGACAGCAGAACAAACATGCCCACCAATAATCTCCTAGGTATTTTTATAAAATTCAAAGATAAAGTCATCTGGCCTAGAGGCAGAAGATGGAGGAGTGGAGAAAACAACAACTTTTATTTCCTCGTTAGATATAGAAATAATTAAAGAAGATCTGAGATATATAGGAACATAATTACCAACAAAAATCAAGGGGTGATTCAAAGTGTGGTTGTAATGAGTGTTGAAGAGCTTATGCAAGTGGTTGATGATAGCCATGGAGATGTTATTATGCGAAGAACAAGAACTAATTAGTAGCAATCTCACTTATATTGTTATAATTATTCCTAGCTATAATTTTCTTGTAAAGGAACCCAAATCATCTTCACCATTGAAAAACCACATGACTTTAGATCTCTAGATGATCAAGAGGACCAAGAAGAGTAACAAGAAGCCAATTGATATTAATATCTTTAAAAGAAGTGTTGAGGGCAGGGCTAAAAGGGTTATTGTTTATTTGTTGGAGGTAAAAATTCTGATTTTGCTACAAATCCACAATGTTTTTGGAAATAAAATTGGAAGAAATCCATTTTTTTGTTTTGATGATGCCATTGAGTTTCTGTAGCTTTTGATAAAAAGAATAAATCAAGTTGCCACTACAGTGACAAACCCAAACAGAAATCCCAAAAATTAGCATTCTTAAGCCGATAGTTTTAAAAAGAAATCTATGCATAGCTTTATCCATTGAAGAGTTTAGAAGAACAAGAGAACTGTGATTAGAGCATCTAGGGTTTTTAATTTTATAAAATAATAAGAAATTTGCTCTTACCAATAATCATTAATAAGCACTCTATCTAACTTAATATTAATAGGCTTGTTAGTACGTTGATTAAACCATGTATATAAATGGCCAGTGGAACCAAGATCATTCACACCAATGTTGAAAATGAGATTATTTAAATCTCAAAACTTGTTATTATGACTAGCATTGTCACAAACCTTTTCATTGCTAAACCTGCAACAGTTGAAATCAGCCAAAACAGCTTAGGACAAATTAACATTAACCCAAATATCATTTCAAAGAGGTAATCTGTCATATTGAGAATCAGAAGCATAGACAACAGATACTTGGCAAATAGGAGAAAGCCTAAACAAAGTGCCATGAACAATCTGATTGGAATAAAAAGTAGGCTGAAAGGAAACCCTCTTGGAGTTCCATTTGAGCTGGATTCTACCTGGGTTAAAAACATCAAAATTATTAAAAGAGCCTTAATTCTAAAAAACCCTGTGATTGAACAAGAAGACAAAATCAGTAGCCGAATGGCTAAGAATTTTATCTTCCAAAATACACAACATATTTAAGCTATAACAACTTACAAAATCTTTGTAGTTTAAAACCTTTCTAGGATTGTTAAAACCCCTGACATTTCAAGATGTAGGGCTGTCAAAATCAGGTCATAGGTCGGGTTTGGGTCGAACCTGGAATTGACCCGACACAGGTTGACCCAACTCAAACCTGATCCATTTTTGTAAACTGGTCAGGTATTTCAACTCGGACCTGAACCGCACAAGTTGTCGGGTTAACCCGACCCGATTCGTGAACATGCGACTCACTGGGTGAGGCGCATGCGGGGTGAGGGTGCAGCGTGAGCGTGAGGGCGCAGGCAGGGTGAGGCGTCAGCGACTCGCTGAGATGGTGGTGACGACACCGATGAAGGCGAGTCGAAGACCATGGTCAGGGCAGTATACAGGCGACAAGACATTGTCATCAGCTTAGCGGGCACGAGAGCGCAACGCACTCAGGTCAGTAGCGGCAGGGACACAACACGGGTGCCACGGCAAGCAGCGGCACTCGACGTCATCACGCAACTCACGCAGATGCAGTCACCCGATGAGATGTTGTGAGCGCGAACATGACTAGCAAGTCGCGAGTGCGGGCGGGAATCAAATCGAGATTTCTGATTTTCGGGTCGATCCAGGTCATTTTTGGGTTTCTGGGTCAACCCGAACTCGACCCGTTTGGGAATCCGAGAACCCGAGCCCTATCCGTTTGCTAAACAGGTTGATCATAACCTTAAATTTTTGGGTCAAGTTCGAGTCATGTTTTCAGGTCGTGTCAAATATTGAAACCCCTACCAAGATGCAATATTGGGGAACATCATTGAGTTTTATTGTTTAAGGGTGTTGTCTTTTTTACATTTTTGGAACGAGTTGGTTTTTGTGGTTGAGTAACAACTATTTGAATGTGTAGTAATGGAAGCACTATTAATATCAATAGAATTCTTAGTGCTTTGAGTTGTTTTCAATTGAAGAATGGAAAATTTGTTACTAGTAGCCACACCTCCAATTTCCATAGAGGTGGGGGAAGGGATCCGTGGAAGATGTGTGTCATCCTAAGGTGTGTTAAGATTAGGATTATGAGGTTTATCTGAGACAAGCTAAGCCTTAGAAGCCTGTATATATGAAGTAGACAGGGTTGAGGATCTAACAATAGAAGTCACCAAAATGTCAGTAGGAATAACAAAAACAGAAGCTTGAGGCTTTTGCTGTAGTGAGGTGGAGGGAAGTGGAGGTTTTAGAATAATGATTTGGGTGGCTATTACGTGGTTTGTGACTTAAGCTTCTACCCTTAGGTTTAGATGCCACGGTCTCTTGGATAGGTTGAATATGGTAGAGATTTGGTGGATGAACCAATGAACCACAACTCGAACAAGGGGTCGGCTTCCAGTCTTATTGAACTAAATGACTTTTTTTTTTTTCTCCAATGGACAGAAATTTCATCTGGCAAAATAGTGTAATTCTAAACCTAACGCACACCCTAGCAAAGGTTAACCGAGTTTTCATTGCTAGTGGTGTACCTATTACACTAGCAATTTTAGAAATGTCCATGGGTGTCCAACATGATAAAGGTAGATCATGTATTTTTATCCACAAGGGAATCAAAGTAAACTCCTCACGTCTAGATTTAAACATTGGAGACCATTTCTGCAAAATAAATGGCATGCCAAGAAAAAAAAATCAAGTTCCAAGGAGAGTAAGGTTAACGTATCTTTCAGCATGCAATGTTTTTTCATATAAGCTAAGAGAGCCTCGTAATAGGGCTATTTTCCAATTTCATAACGCACAAGGGAAAGCCCCCCATTCTTTAGATCCATTCCCGTTCGTGATTTCATCATCAGAAAACTGAACTACCTTATCTTGAGAAGGTATTTAAGAAAGAGTAAAATATTTTACCAAGAACAGTCAAATGAGCAATCCGTTCCAGTTTAGGGAAGTGGAGCAGAAGGGGATGAAGAAGAGGGGGTTCTTAGCTTGAGAGCTTGGGATGAGAGAAATCAACCAATGAATATGAAGCCATATCAAATGAAAACATATGAAATAGGAGGAAGAGAGGAAGAGCTAAGGGGAGAGGCCCCTATGCATGTGAGAATGCTGAGGAACCAAGGCAGCTAAGATTCACAAGAAACCATGGCAGAGCGCTCCTTCTCACAGTTGCTTCATTATGCATGTGTTCGTCCATCATATATTGCAAGTCACAAAAATTGTTCCATCAATAGATGTTTCCTACAAGCTTTTGATAATAGCTTAATTTATGCAAGAATTGCCGAAGAAAATCATTTTCAGACAGATTTTATTATTCAAAATAATTATTTTTCCTTGTAGTAAATCACGATTTTGCTTATAATATCTTTTCATTTTCTCCAACTATAGTGCTTGTTATTGTTTTGAATGACCCTCTCTACATTTGAAGAACGACATGTGAAGAAAGAAGAGTGGAGATGATTAACAATTACCTGTTGATGCAAAGATTGGAACAAGACTAACTTAGTTAAAAGATTATTTGGGAAATATAGAGGTGGTGGCGAAGAAACGAGTTCTTTTTTCTTTTTTTTTGTTAGCTAATTATCATAAAAAGTGCTTAAAAATAGTTGATGAAATTTTCGCTATGCAGGAGATATGTTCAGAGAAACAAATTGGGCTTTTCAGCAAGCTACTTTCCCAATAAAAGCTCAAGAAAAACAACTCCAAATGAATGGAGTTTGAACGGCCGGGAATTAAACTAAAATTATCACAAATTAAAAATCCCATTACATTTGATTTTTGAATTGAAAAGCAATTGGATAAAGTCCAGTTTCATTAGATTCCATTCAATAAAGCCAACTAACTTCTGATCTTAGGAGCCAAGAAGGCCAGTGGAATTTCAGAAGCTAGGAAATTATAAGTTACAAATATTCATTCATTAATCAATAATAATATAATAGCCAAATAGCTCACATCACATCTGCAATGTTGGATATTCTATAACTATGATTGAAATTATCAAAAATAAATTAGAAGATGAAAGGCTAAGATTTAATACGATAAGAATTGCAAACCGCTAGGTATTATAATATATATATATACACTAAATCAAGCAACCATGTAATTGGTGAGGATGTCAGCACCCAAAGTTCACATTCAGCAAGCAATTTTACAGAGTATTCCAGCAGTAAATATGCACTTGTCATTAAAACTCGTAAATAAAAGTTATAAAGTCTCTAAATGTCCAGAAGATCTCCAAAATATGATTAAATTCATTTTTCAAATATAAATCAGTGCATGGAAAGACACAAAGAAAACATAATGGAGTTCATATTTCAACATGGAGTCAAAGAATATTGACGCAATCCCACTTGATACACTAAGCTAAATACCAGGCAGCCATGGAACCTGCAATTGGAATTGAGTACCGCTGATTTATTCTTCATAATAGAGAAAAACAATATCTGGCGTCCCTGACAACAGCTTGGTTCATCATCACAATAAAACATAAGAAAACTTCACAGATGCTCCTTACTATAATACTTTCAACTAGCAGAGTTTATTATAAATAAATGCTCCTTCCACCAGTTTGTACCTTTCTACATTACAAGAAAGCTGATCCAAGCAGCGGTAACATATTCATTTATCTTACAGCCGTATTTAAATTCTAAGAACGGAAAAGCAATTGAGATTAGGTCCATTAACACATTGGCAAGATACTTCCAAATCAAACTAAAATTAAAATTAGTTTTAACTTCCAGCTGACCATCATAGAACATGAATTCTTTCTTGGAAAGCATGTTTCTATCCAGTATTATGGCTCCTATGAGTACAAAAGAGGGCATTAGAAGATGGTTCTTTTTTATTCCATTAAAAATGATGATTTAAAATATCTTATATTGATCTATCAAACAAAGATTCAACATGGAAAGAGAGATCAATTCATTGAAATCCATTTGTTCTTAAAATGTACTGAGCTGCAGAATCGTTTTTACTACATCTGCTACATTTAGAGTGACATGTCTTCCAACCATATCGCATGTTAATGACCCATTATACTGTGCAATGGAATTATCATATTGTTACAGCAGCTTTAATAAGTTTGTTGAAGCTAAGATAGCAGTTTTCTACAAATTTCAAAAATCAAAGTACCCAGCAAAAAAGATCATAATCATAAAACAAAACTCTATGGTAGAGATTCTTTCAATTCAAGAAAATTTTAGATGCTAATGAAACTCATTATGCGAATATGAAATTATAACTTGGAAGGCTTGAAGAGAGGAGCATGCAAAGCAACCATAAACGCATAAAAGAACTTCACTTCTAAGGAAGAATAATAAACATTCAACTTATAAGTTTGTTTTTAAGTCACTTACCAGAGAAATGGGGTACGATAAATATATGATCTAGTCATTAATCAAGCTAAGAATGTCAAAGACAACGTTAAGTAAAGCTCATAGAAAACTTTCATTCACTTTCATTATACTTCTATTTTCAAAATTTAAACCAATAAACATACCGTAAACTTAAAAAACTAATTCTGTGAACTATTTGCATATTATTTAGAAATCTCTGAACTATAAAGAATCTCCAGGTCAACCAATGCAATTCAAACCATCTGAGCGTCTCTTCAGAGAAATTCAAGCTTACATTTTGGACATAAATAAAATTTAATGAACATGCCATAAATGTGAAACAAAGAAAAATCAAATTAGGATGGTAAACCGTTGAGTAAAAAGATGAATGAGCAACAATTTGATTTTTCTACGCTTCCATTCCTTCCAGGACATAAAACTGGACATCAGTATTGAGAACATGTCACCTCTGCCTTGTGATGCCATTGGATGCCCATTTCAACCCAAGTCTACACTGGCATAGCGTTAAGATGAAGACCATATATATATAAATATATTAATATATATATATGGCTAAAATAGCACTCCAGACTTTGATAGCATAGCACACGATGCTCAAATTATTCAGAAATGTCATCCCCGCTAAAATGCTCTGTACGTTCAGGCCTATCATCAGAATCATCTTCTCTAAAAGACCTTGCCTTCTTCGAGTATTGAATATCCACCCTGTCCTGTAAATTTTAAAATTTAATTGGAATTTGAATGCATCCTTAAAATACAACCATTATGTTTCATGCATGAAAAAGTGTGTATATTCTATTTATCCAATTTATCCAACCTAAAGTTTACAGAAAAGAAAGAGAGAGAGAGAGAGAGAGAGAGAGAGAGAGAGAGAGAATTACAATGTTCTGAATATGATACCAAGAACCAAGAAATGCAAGCAGGAAGGAGTTACGTACAAGGATACTGGAGGTAATAGTCGGATAAGGCTTCTTCTGTTGGATTTAGGAAAATGTTTCAAACAGAAAAGGGACTGAAAATGCCTATTTCAAACCAAATTTCAGTGACTTATAGATTATAATACCGTCAGAAAATTCTTCCCTCCAATCATGTCAATTCATCCACGAAGTGCACATCTTTCACTCTCCACATCACTCCTATCACCTTTCCTCTATACCCATGCCCGCATCCTCCCACCTCTACTGCATCTATTATCCTTGAAAGTGCTGATCTTAAAACCCTCCCTGAAGGACATGTTTGGCTGAAATAGATTTTTAGTACTGAATCAAATTTTTATTGAAATAAATATGAAAGAAAGACAAAATGCAATTGGAACTTCAATTGGAGAGGAAAATCCGGCTCTCCCAAATCCCTAGCTATCAGCTAAAGCCCACTCAAACTAAGAACAATCCAAAATCAGTAAAACATCACATAAAAAACTTAACCATAACATAAACAACTTATTTAAAGCATAAAAAATCAAGTAAATTCCCAAAACAGCCTTGCCCTTGAATTTTCCTTCCTAGCCGGCCCATCCCCCATTTGAAAAAACTCCCTAGGCCCCACCCCAAAGGGGGCGGGATTTCAACCCTGTGGAATGGTTCCGCCTCACACACCCTGGCCGATCCCTTCTATGTCCGGTCCAGGAATGACTAGTCTAACAATATCCCCCTCCTAAAGACCAACATTGTCCTCACGATAGAAAGATGAAAATTGTTGTTTCATCCTCTCATACGACTCCTAAGTGGCATCATACTCGGGTATGTTCTTCCATTTTATCAATACTTCCTTGATCCCTCCCTCTTATTGTCATACTCCTTTCAGCTCCAATGTTTCCAACACCACCTCCAAATCCTCTGCCAGTGTCATGGGTAGCTCTGAAATGAATGCATGGTCACCAAAAGCTCTCCTCAACTATGACACATGGAACATTGGATATATGGTAACGGTCGATTGTAACATTAATAGATAAGTCACTGCTCCAATCATCTCCAATATCTCCTAAGGGCCAAAGTACCTCGGGATCATCTTCTCATTCCTTCTGTTAGCTACCATCCTTTGTCTATAGAGACAAAACTTCAAGTATACCCTATCTTCTATCTTAAACTGGATGTCCTTCCTACACCCATCTGCTTACTTTTTCATGATATGTTGAACCCTCAACAAGTGTCTTTTTAATTCATCCAATACTACATCCCTCTCCTCTAAATACTATTCTACTAACGAGACTGGTATGCTACGTAGCCCAAAGTGTACCAAGTGAAATGGGTCCTTTCCATACAACACTTTGAAAGGGTCATATGGGAAGCTAAATTATAGGAAGTGTTGTACTAGTATTCGACCCATGCCAGCCACTTGGCCCACAACCAAGATGTTTATGAAGAAAAACATCGCAGGTACGTCTCAAGACTCATGTTTGACTATCCATCTAGGGGTAGTAAGTGATGCTCCTCTTCAGTATTGTCCCCTGCAACTTGAACAACTCCCTCCAAAAATGATTGAGGAACCCCTTATCTCGATCAAACACTATAAACTTCGGTATCCCATGCAATTTGATCACCTCTCTAATGAATGTCGCTATCACTGTCACTGTCGTGTAAGGATATCATAGGGGAATGAAATGAGCATATTTGCTCAATCAGTCCACCACCACCAAAATCACTATAAACCCCTTGTATTTGGGCAATCCATCCATAAAATCCATGGTGACATCCTCCACACTCTATATGGAAAAGCTAGGAGTTACAATAATCCTCTTGAAGACATGGCCATATATTTGTTCACCTGGCCATACCTCACATCAACCTACCATCTCTTCCACATCCTTATACATCATCTTCTAATACAACTATGTCGTCAACCTCCTATACATCTTATGAACCCCTGAATGACACTCAACCGCGCTCCTATGAAACTCCTACAGAAAGTGAGGAATATGAACTGATATCTGTGGCAACACAAATCTCCCCTGGTACAACAGACTCTCCCAAGTTAGGGACTAACCAGGGAATCTACTCTCATCCCTCAGCGGATCTGTCTTAATTTCTTTTAGCTCCTCGTCCTGCACATTCTCCTCCTTAATAGCCCCCCAATCCAACATCAGTGGTACCGAAATGGCTAACACCTAGAGCTCCCCCACGCATTTGGACGGCATCAACCACTTTGTTCTCTAGCCCTAGCGTATACTAGATCTCAAAATCATATCCCAACAACTTTGAAAGTCACTTCTAATGCTCCTCGATTACCATGCTCTCCTCTAACAAGTATTTCAAACTCCCATGGTCTACCCTGACGATGAAATGTGAACACAACAAGTAAGGCTGCCCTTCTAATGGGCCAGTAATTCTGCATAAGCACTACCCTCAACCCATATTGTGATGCATCAATCTCTACCACAAAAATATGACTAAAATCTCATAGGGCCAAGACCGGTACCATGGTCATAGCCTTCTTCAGTCTCTCAAAGGCTTGGGTAGCTGACTTTCCTCACAAAAAGTTATCATTCTTCAGCTGCTCTGTCAATAGATATGCTATAGCGTTATATCCCCTCACAAACCTCCTATAGCATCCAATCAACCCTAGGAAACCCATCAGCTCTATCAGATTTCTAAGTAGTGACCTTTTCAGCATTACCTCAATCTTGGCTTAATCAGTGGCCACTGGCCACCCCTCCTAAGATACCATGTGCGTCAAGTACTCCACACTAGGTTGTACTGTTTGGGTGTACTGGATTGGTGTTGGTTCAAACGTCATTGCTCTGGGTCTATGAAGTAACTTTTTTGTGGTGCTCCCATTATTAGTCTATCTCAATTTGCTTCAATATTCATCACTCATCATCTTCATGTGATTTGGACTAGAACTCTGTCCATCATCTTCTGTGCTTCAATATTCGTGATTTGTCATCTTCCTGTGATTTTTTTTCTTAGGCTTACCTTTTGTGTTCTTGAACTGCACGCACTTGCTTGAATTATTTGTGCCCTTTTTTTATTTAATTGGGCCCCGCCCTCAAATTTCCACAAAAAAGGGCCAAATACTAAATGCAGTCCTTGATCTACATCTCCATAAAGTTTCATAATTCTAATTAGCAGATTAATCCAAGATTATAAGAAATCTAAATAGAACTATGCACCCTAACAATACTATTCAATTTCTTAATAATCAAACAACTTCATCGATTTGTTGTAAAAGGAAAAGCTTCTCTCTCTAAGAGATCACTGTGAGCAAAAACATCATAAAATCACCTTGATGCAAGTCTTATAGATAAAAGAATCTCCAAGCTTACCATAAAATAAAAATGCACTCAATCGGTTACCAGGACATGTAATATTTTACCAGAACACAAAAATGGAAGAAAAACGGAGTCAAACCAGAAATGGAAGCAACCTAGCAGTGTCACAGGCACATTATATGGATTCTTTCATGCAACAATATTGAAGTTCAGAAAGTTAATGTTACATACATGATTTAGAGAAGTTTGTCCAGATTCCACCATCACTTCTGTAACAGCAACAGATGCCCTTTTTCTCACAGTTATTCTCGAAGGCACAGGATAATGCTCAACCTCATCGCTAGACCTTCCCTCTTTAGCCTTCTTTTTCTTTAATAGAAGCTTTGTTGGTAAAGGCTGCCGAACAAAGTTCTTCTAAATTAAAAGGCATCAATGATCCAAGCAGCAAAGAAATGGTCCAAACATTACCAGATATCGGGCAACATCATCATCAAAATTAACAAGGAATGTTGAAGGGTCATCAACATCATCACCTCTGACCTGCAACACAGGATCATGTGCAATCTAGGTAAAACTATAATAAGATTACAGAACAGTTAAAAAGCATGCAGCATGGGAAAACATTTCAAAAAGTGACAGTAAATGAATTACAAATTGTACATAAAATACATACATCCCAGTGATACTCCCTAACCCAACAATATGATATATCTTCATTTTCATCGTAAATGTCCTTCGATAGCTGTTACAATAAATACAATAAAGTCATCAGAGAAAACAAAAATAGAATATCTTGCTATTTAATTACAAATCATAGGTTGTAATCTAAAGCAAAAGAAAGTTAAGGAGCACAAAAAGCCCTCCTACTAAGAAATTAAGACAAATGTTTCCGATGAAGCGGATAGCACTGAAAATCTAGAATGTTACGCAGAACAGTTGCAGCTCACTACCTCATCAGGAGCAGGAGCCATGTATGCCAAAAATTTCTCAAGCTTTGTAGGATCGGAGCTGCTAACCACAAAGCTCTTCATTATGGCCTGTAAACAAGTATATTAATGAGATACACTATGCGGTTATTGCAGCCAAGGATAAAAAAACCCTGCATTTAAAATGCACTAGAATATCCACGAGATTTGGTACATTGCATTCATTACTAGATGGTAATCAAACTAAAAACATAAAAAGCTTAATCAGATAGCCTAAAAAGAAACAAAAAGATTAGCGAGATACACAAGAGGGGCCATCAAAATAAAAGGCCGCATTAAAAATTCACGCCTAAAGATAGAACTAAATCTCCATATTATATGGGACATAGCAAAAGTAGTTTATGCCACAAAGAATTCCAACAAGTAATTTAATAAACAGTTAAATTACAAACAAAAGATCAAAATGGACTTAAAATTTTAATCTCCTCATTTCCACCCAATATTAAAATGATTAAAAGACTTTTATTAAATTCAATATTTTTTTCTGATCATATATATTAAATTCCATATATATATAAAGTAATCAATTAATTAAATTAAATGAACAAAGTTTAATAGAGCATTACCGTTCTACTAATAATGTACTGTTCAATCGTTTTTCCCTTTTCCACCAAGGAAAACATACAGCAGCCCATGTAAAAGTGAATAGTTGAGATTAAAACTTTGTATGAAGTTATATTATATTTATTGCGTGTTGGAAAATTTGTGGCCATAGAGATATATGGAATTTAACGTCCTAGCTTTGCACTAAAATCCAATACACACACAAACAAGATAAAGCAGTGCAATAATTGTAAGAGAAATCAATTTGTTTACATGGAAAATCCTAGAAAGAGAAAAACCATGGGGTCTAACCCAGTTAAAATGATTTCACTGATATTTATATTGGTTGCAAGTGAAATTGATGTAGGACGAGAACGGGTAGGACGGCTTTGCTAAGGAGAGGATCTCCTCTCCAAAAATATGAAAAAATACACTTCAGGAAATCTGAAATTTTCATATTTGATCTCAGAATTCAGTAAGGCATTCTAACTTTATGTGCTGGGAAGAAAGAATTATGAGAGGATGTTTTAGTCTGTGGACGGGAGCTTATGTGCACGGTGGGAAAAATCCAATCCTTGAATCCTTGAATCTACAGGAAAGAGAGGCTTTAATGTTAGGAAAGATTTCCTAAATTAAAGCCAAAGGTGAGAGTTACGGGATTTGAAAATTAGTTTCCAAATTCCTTTCCAGCGGCAAGAGGAGTTTTAAGAAGGATTCACGGGTGGATGGGGAAGGTGGCCGGCGGGTGAGGGAATTGGCCGGGAGCTTAGAGTGGGCGGATGGGGGTCAGATGGGGTGAGATCCGGCGGCAAGGGTGGAGGATGAAGACGATGGAAAAACAATTAAAGAAAAGATAAAAAAACGAAAGAAAGAAGATCGAAGATAAAAACGAAAAAGAGAAAATAAAACCGCGAGCCTTGGACTCATCCGAAGGCTGACGGGTGATGCGTTGCCCTTCTCCAAGGGACTCAAATCACGAGCCCGGACCCATACTGCGGCTGGTGACAACTTCGATTCCTCTCATAGGAATCTCACTAACGCTCTCTCACAAGAAGAACAAAAGTGTGGAAAATAATTTTTCATATCAATCAACCATCCTATTACAATAGCTTAAGGCCCTATTTATAGGCCACAACATGAGAAAATAAAAAAATTTACAAAATTGCCCCTTAGGCCACAACACTCAAATAAATTAACCTAGGGGTAAAATAGGAAATAGCATAAAATAGAAACTAAAATGAAGAAAATAATTCATAAATGACAACTTAAATCAGAGCCGTCGATTTACGATGCCTCCTGTGATAGATGCACCAGATTTTCGTGCCGATGTCCACATCAGAACCCTATATCACGGGAAGGCATTGATAAAGTACATATTATAATGCTGAAGTAGGGAGAGCTCTTTTGGAGGAATCCAACATAAATACTAGTGCTGAAGTAGGGAATTAGAATTGATGTCAATGGCATGCATCAATCCAATAAGTGATGGCGTGTGTTGGCATTATTAACAATGGTAAGTGATAAAGTCAGTAGGTGTTGGAGTAGCTAAGTGATAATAGTTGAAAGATTATTAGTCAAAGGACTATAGTCGGCGGGTGGTGAAGATCAAAGTACCGTAGTCGACCGGCAACGAAGGTCAAAAGGACTATCGTAGGGGACGGTGGTCAAAGGACCATCATAGTTGGTGGGTGACAGTTGTTTGAGGATCATAGTTAGCTGGCGACAGAGGTGGACGAATAACCGTGGTAGGGAGATGATGGTTCGAAGACCATAATTGGCGGGCGATGGAGGTCGAAGGACTATAATCGGCGGGTTACGAAGGTCAAAGGACCGTAGTAGGTGAGCAATAAAGGTCAGAGGGACCATAGTTAGAAGACAGAGATTGAAGGATTGTAGTCTAGAGACGGTGGTCCAAGGACTCTAGTTGATAGGCGACGGAGGCTGAGGGGACCATAATTGGCGGGCGAAGAAGGTCGAAAGGATCTTAGATGGGAGATGGTTGTTAGAGGACCATAGTCAACAGGCGAGGTTCGATGGACCATGGTCGGGTGATGGTGGTTCAAATACCATAGTCAGGCGATTGTTGTCTAAGGATTGTAGTTGAAGGACGATGGAGATTGAAGGACTATAGTCGGTGGGAAATGAAGGTTGGAGGACTATAATTGGTGGGCGATAGAGGTTGGAGGATCGTACTCGATGGGCACCGCATGTAGGAATGACATTAGCCAGACAATTGTGGTCTGAGGACTGTAGTCAACAGGTAATGAGGGTCGAAAGGATCGTAGAATGACGATGGTGGCCAGAGGACCGTAGTCAAGCGACGGTAGTCAGAGGATCGAAGTCAAGTGATGGTGGTTGGAGGACTGTAGTCAGGCGACACTAGTTCAAGAGCAATCACTGGACGGTGGTGATCAAATGACTGTAGTATGGAAACAATGGTCCAAGGACCGTAGTAGATGGGCGACTGAGGTTAAAAGGACTGTAGTCAGGCAACGGTGGTCCAAGGACTGTAGTCAATGGGCAACTGTAGTCAAAGGACCATGGCCGGGCAATGGTCAAGTGGTGGCCCGACAGTGGTGCTCCGAGATCCTTAGAACCTCAGAGCTCTCTTGAATCTCAAGAGAGAGTTAACGCTCCGGCTCCAAGTTCCTCCCCTTCGTCATATAGAGAGCAAGAGCCTATTTATATATTTTTAGAGCCTATATATATGGAGAAAATCCGAAATACTCTATTGGATGGTCCGCGTTGATTTCCTTGATTATAAAATATTCATTCAGCATTTATGTGCCATAATGATTTCTGAATTAAGCGATCTTAGGTTGTTAGGATTTGTCTCGTCGAACCGTTCAATTAGACTATAAGCATGCTTCAGGCCCTTAATTTGAGCTCATTTGGGCTTGGATTGAACCTTTTTTGGTCATTGGGTTTGCCTTGACAATATGTTTAGTTCAACTATAAGTTTGATGAAATAAGTTTGAATGGTCCTAAATTTTGGTAGTTTTCAATTCAAATATGCCTCGAGATTAGTGTTCGATCAAGGTAATTTTTGGTGATATATCAATATTAATATTACTACACGCTTCATTCCCCTCATCCCATTAGCAATAGCGTGAGAACTCGTCCTAGGGGAAGTAGAGGAATTGAGCTAGAAACTATTTTTGTGAGAGAAATGTGAATTTATTCATATTTGAGGTAAGAGACTATTTTCATGTCATATTTTATTCATATTTTGAGTTGATAAGTCAAGAAATTTTATGCAGTTTATATTGTGAATAAGAGATGAGATCTTGGGATGATCAGTCTAAGGAAACATGTACTAAAGTTGAACTACCATTTGGTGTGAAATACTCGAGCTCAAGTATAAGAAGCAAAGTATTTGTAAGTCTATTGCTTGTTACCTCCCTACAATATGCTATTGCACCTGTATATGTATTGCTAATTGACATTTCTTCAAATTGAGCACGTTTAGTTATAGTTGCTAGGTAGTCCATTATATTGCAAATGTTTACCTGCTTAAAGCCATTTAATGCTATCTTCATATAATATGAGTCTCATGATCTATCATACAAATCAAATAACCAAAAATTTGTCACATATTGTCATGCTTATGCCTTGGAGCAGTTTTACTTCATATATTCTTTACAAATAGAGTACTTATAGGTCGTGATATTTTGATCATTATAAGATGCATGTTAATGTGGGTTCATGATAATGTTCTATATATTTTAAATATTTTATGAAAGTAATGATAATAAAGGCAATAAAATATCATGTCACGTAGGATAGGTTCCCCATAGGAAGAAATAGAAGTATTGATGAGTTGAGCCTCTATTAAGAGACCAAGAGAAGTTCTTGGTTTTCCACAATTGTAAATTGGACTAACCCAAGTGTTATTGAGGTTGTTTGATAACTATTATATTAGAGCAAGTCCAACCCTTATCAATGATTATGACATATCCTGATGAGCTATGTGATGATACTATAATGTAGGACTGAATCTGGTATAAGCATTGCGTTATGAATGAGGCAAAACTTAGACAACCATGGCATGAAACTTCTAAGAGTGTGACAAGCATGAATGAGAGAAGAACATCCTGAGTAAAATAAGTATTTGTCTAGCTTAAATGATTGAACATCCATATTTCTTGTAGAAATTCATAATTGCCGCGTATGATTGTGTCCTTTGTTTATTCAATTATCAAATCATGCCTTGATAATATTGTTTATAGCAAGGCTTTGAAAACCGGGCCGGTCAACGAACCGGAAGAAGATGTTAAAGGTTCGAATGGTTCGACCGGTCAAACCGGGATCGAACTGGAAGATGCAATAAATAATAATATTATTAAAAAGTAATAACTATAATTTATAAAATATATAGTTTAATGATATTTCATGAAGGAGTATGAGATAGTTGGCTTTTAGCTCTTTATATAGTTCCCTCTTTTCTAACAAAACTTATTTCTTGAGATGACATCCATATATTATGTATTAAAAATCTCATTATTTAA